AGTAGGAATTCAGTTACAAAAGACCTGCTACAAGCATTAAGTAGAAGTAGAGGCAAAAAAAGATCCAAAACTATTTCAAGATAGACAGCATAACCTCAAAATCTAGGCTAGAAGGTTTTTGCCCCGACTCCTGGTGGGGTTCACGTTGAGTTTCCGACCCTTTTGGTAGAATCTTTTTACTTCCATGGGGAATCCTCCATTAAGTATTAAGTAGAGAATGTACCTAAATCTCATTCTGTGTCTGTAAAGAAGCGAAATTCAACTAGGGTTGGACTTGGATATTTTTTTCTTAATTATAAGATTAAAGCAAAATTCAACTAGTATGTTAATATAGATCTTAATTCTCAGTCAAAATTTGAAATAATAACAATATATATTATGTTAAATGATTGTTATTAATGTCAATTGTAGAATGGAGGTAGTTTCGACTTGCATTTTAACAGTTGTCTGTAAGTATTGGTCGAATGTTGATGAGTATCGTAAGTTGAAAACTATTAGTTTATTTATTTATTTATTTATTTTTTTTTAAAAAGGAGTAAGTTAGAAAATTATTAGTGTCTTTATTTTTTTTTTTTTGGGTCTTTTTGTGATTAATGACTGTGATGTTGCTGTTATTGACTATCACATTAACTTTTCACTGTCATTTAGTTGACTGTGTATTTATGTAAATATCAATTTGTCATTATGTGGAATATCGATTGTTATTGTTTAATGTCTCACTTGTTTTTTCTTTTTTTAATAAGGATTCTTAAAAATAAAATTTAAGATTTAAGATAAAAATAAAATTAACGGATATCTTAATAATGTTGCTAAATGTAACTATTATTGTAGATTCAAGACTATTATTAGTGACTATGAAGTTCCTTCTAATCACTGTATTATTACTATCATTGTATGTTTTATTGTCACTAGTTATTATCTTTTCCTTCCAAGTGATTATCTTATTATCATCAACAATTACTATTTTATTTCCAAGTGACTATGTGATTAAAAAATTAATTATAGAGCTTACGAATGACATTATTTTACACACACTGTTCATTTTAATTATATATATCCAACTCAAAGGAATTTTATTATAAATAATTAAGACTAACCACCAACATAGCTGGTCTATCATTAAGATTTTGAACATTTCATTTACTATTTTGTAGATATATTATGTGTTATAGGTAGACTATATCATAGATTAATAGTAGTGAGTTCGTAATGTTTAATTTGGGATATAATTCTAAAATTTAGTTCATTAATGTGTTGATAAAATTACTATAACTAAATTAAGTTATGTGTCAAATAAGTTTATTATGTTATATGATAATTAAATTCTTTTAATTGAGATAGATATAACGAGTTAATACTTAATTTTTTATTTAAAAAGAAGTAAAGAAAATAAGGTCTAGCTTTGAACATTTGAGAGCTTGAACTTCTTTTAATAATAGTAATTCACTACTCAACCTAGGGATTAATTTTGTCTCTTTTTTTTTTTTGTTTTTAATTAAAAAAAAAACTCTTTTTCTAATATGATTATTACTCTTTCAATTTTTTATAATTAAATATATGATGCATAATTTTTCAAATAAATTATTTAATTAACTTATTTATTAAATAAATAAATATAGTGTGATAATCATATCATTAAAATTTAATAACATTCATTGTCACATGTATTTTTATGCTCAAAACTCTTTCTTATGTTTTTAAAAGATCTGAATCTAATTTGCTAAAAACTATATTTTTTTTTACTTGCAACTTTGGTGAGTATGAAGGTAGTACTCATTTTAGTTTCAATTAAATTGTATAAATTTTATTTATGTGACAACTATACCATTAAAAATCAATAACATAGTTTTTCTGATTATAAATTCATTTATTTTAGTATATAATAAATTAACAAAATGATTAATTTAAAAAAATAATAATAAAAAAAATCGATGACATAAGTGCTGGTGGTAATAATATGTACATATCTATTTATTTTAACATACAAAAGTAACTAAAAATTAAGAGAAACTTAACTTTAACAATTAAAAGATAATAAATAAAAGTTGAAAGACAACTTTACAGAAAAGCCATTTTAAAATCCACAGAATAAATGCAGAATGAAATTGAAGTAATTTTCCCTTAAATAATAATAATCTTATCCTTCACTGAGGAAATCTAGGGACAGGGCGATAGTTACTAGCGGAGGTTAGAGGCGGAAGTATCTATCCTTCCAAAAAGATTTTTAGAATTTATATGCCCGGCTGTGCAGATTAGAAGAGAAAGGAAGCGGAATCGGTGAAAGGGTTAGCAGATATGTCGTTCAGGAAAGGAGATTTGCTCTCTCAAACCAGAAGGCTCGTCAAGGGCTTGGCTAAAATCGAGCCCGTTTGGCTCAAAGCCATGGAACAGTTAAGTCTCTTCTCTCTCCCTTCCTCCCTCCCTCGTTGTTTGGTCGCTTTCCTTTTTTTTTGTTTTTATTTCAATCATTTTGCTGAAGTTTTCGAATTAGAACGAAGAGTACAGTTTATGGCTACTTTTAGGAGAGAAAATGGGTATGCTACTATCATTGTTTAGAGCTTATGAGTTACTAGAATTGTGCCATAGATTGTCATATGCTTTTCATTTAGTGATTCAAACCGATAAGAAAAGATTCTTTTTGGTTAGATGTACTTTTCTTATTAACTTTTAATTCAGCCATGTATAATTGTTTCTGTCCCTTGTTTTATTGAAGTTCTGGATTGGAGATGCAACTGTTTGAAGGTATCCTATGCCTTTAAGAATGTGAAGAATTTTTTTATCCAAATGCATATGTTGTTTAATCTGTATTGAGAAAAAAAAAAAAAAAAAAAAAAAAGGAAACCAATCTAATAGTTCCTGCTGGTTTTTCGCCCAGGGCACCTCCTGCAACCTTTCCTCGTGTTGAGGGGAAAGTCAAGAAGATTAGTCTTCCTGAGGATGTCTATATAAAGAAATTCTTTCAGAAGCATCCGGATTCGAAGCATGAAGATGCCATCAAGTACTTCTTTTCTCCTGTACAAATAGTTCTTCTCAAATTTCACTTGTCTAGTCGTCTACTCCTTGTTTCTTTCTTCTAAGTGGTTATCAGTTTTCTAATGAAGAAATTTTTATGGTCTAGGTTTTAGATCCATAGTTAGAAAGGAACTTCTTGTGCAATATTGGCTTGTTTGATCAGTTGGTTTCCTTAGTAGGATTAGTACCCCAGTGAGAAATTATTAAATTAGCTAGATAGGATGAAACTTGATCCTGAATGTTTATACTGACTTCACTTTTGTGGAATGAGGTTTCCTTAGCATCCTAGTTGCAGACACATCATACACTAGTTACATTTTGTTACAACCTAAGGCATTATAATTTTGGTCTCTTTTGTACTTGTTTCAAATTTTGTGCAGAAGTCTTTGTCTATTGAATTTCTCGATTGTTATCTACTAGTTATAGATGGGAGACAACTATTCATTTACATACATTGTACTGTTTGTTTTAGATATCAATGCTTCAATTTATCCGTTATGTTGCTGCAGGATTTCTGGATTTGATCCTCCTCCTGCCCGTGTGTTTGGTTTGCGGGTGCTGGAGTTGAAGGAGCAAGGAGTTAGCGAGGAGGAAGCAATGACTGTAGCTGATGTATGTATCTGGAATTGGATTTGTGGCTTTCAGAACTCTCCTCTCCCTCGTGCTTTAACAGTCAATACCACTATTTGTTTTGATAACATGAGTTGGCCAAGTTTCCTGATATTCTGTTACCTTTATTTTATTTTTTCCATGCCCTTACTGTTACTGTTCATCTCTAGATGGAATATCGAGCTGAAAGAAAGGGGAAAAAGAAAGCATATACTCGATTGAAACAAATTGCTCATCTTCAAGGAAAGAGACCCCCTCCTAACCCATATCCCAGCGCAATCAAAGAGATACAAGCTGAGGAGAGGAAGTATGTTCGTGACCGATTCTATAATCCCAAGATTCTTGAACTAGTGCAGAAGATGAAAGAAGAGAAAAAAGCAGCAGCTGAGGATAGATTGAGAGGGGTTGGCTGGTAGTTCAAACATATCTGAGACTCAAAACACGCTGCAATTTTCAATAGGTTTTTAATAATTCTTTTGCTGGATGGATGGAGGAGATAGCAGTAATGTGCTACTTGTCACATTGATCACCAATTTGAACAATTAAAGGAAGGCATAGAAATAGGGTTAGTTTTTACGGATCCTTTTTGGTATCAGGAAGATGAATCAGTATCAATTCCTTAATCAGTTAAAGCTATCATGAGAAATTGTCTTGGATGGTTGGATTTTTGTTTTCATGCCAAACTCTTTTAGAACTATTCTCCGGGAGGAACCCCTGAGGCATGTCAGATTTCTCTCTTGAAGTGTTTCGAGGTATCAGTCGCTCTCCTCTCTTAAAGGGGCTTGATTGTTATTTACCTTCACTAATGTAACACTAAAAGATCTTCTTTTCCTCCTAATCTGATGGTTAAAATTAATGGAGGCATCACTTCTCTCTTAGCATAATAGCAGCACTGTTTGGGCGTAATAGATCATTTTTGGGGCTGTGAAGATTGCAACCTTAACCTCATCCTGCAACCTTTGAACTCGGGTGGATGCATATTTGCCTTTTATTCTGTCTGTGAATTACTCTCGTCGGTTGTCCATTAATCTACTGTAGTTAATGTTAGAAGATATTATTTTTTAAATTTTTGTATGTTTATTTTGTTAGCCTTGTCTTAGTCTTTACGAGTTTAGTGCTAGAGTGGGTGATTTTTTAACAATCTTATTTAATGTAGGGAGCTGAGTAATTTTTTTGAATCATCTTTTCTTGCGTAGAGAATAGGTGGTATTTTTTAGTAATCTTATTTTGTGTAGAGAATTGAGTTGTTAAGAATCTCAATTTGAAGATATTTTTACTATTTGCTTATCTATTTAAATAACTTGAGTTGTTTGAATAAAGTGAGAAAAATATTTTTCATTTTCAATATTTCTTTTTACTCTATGTTCTTCATTCTCTTCTTTTAGCTTACAATGATATTATAATTAATCAAAATTAACGTTAAAAAAAAAATAATAGTTTACAAATGACTTCCGCAGCGAGTCATTCTATGTTTTAATGGTAATTATAATTATTGAAACATGCTAATAGAAATTTTAAAAAAAAAAATTAAAGGAGTATTAACACGTAAAAAATAATGTGATAATACCAACATGTTGTGTGGTATTAACACATGGACCATTAACCAAGCTTGAGGTTTTAAAGTTAAAGGATCTAAAGATAAAAAATTATATGTTGTAGGTCACTAATCAATTTATTCTCAAATTTTTTTCAAGTAAAGAAATTTCGGATTCAATGAAAAAAAATATCAAAACTCTCCAAGAATAAAATATGCCCAACTTAAAAATTTGAAAAGAGACTTTGAAATCCTATAAATGAAATATAGAGAATCTGTCGCCAACTATTGTGTGATAACCATGGGCATAACCAATAACATTTGATTTTATGGTGAGAAGATGGAAGATGTTATTATGAAGAAGATATTTCGCTCATTGGCACCAAAGTTCGATTATGTTGTATGCTTAATTGAAGAATCCAAAGATACATATGTACTATCCTTTAATGAACTGTAAAGTCATTAGTGGTCCACGAACAAAAGATGAATAAAAATAATATTTTACAAAAGTTAACTTTAAATGCTTCAACTATTATCCACTCTTTAAATTTTAGATAAGTAAAAGATTAGGAAGAGGAGCTCAAAATAATAGTGATGACAATAGATTTTTTAATGCTAATGATGATAGACTTCAAAGCAGAGGCAAAGGCCAAGGCTAAGGCCAAAGCAAAGGTTAAGAGAGACAATTTGATAAACTAAGGCAGAATGCTTAAAATATCATTATTGTTCTCAATATCATACCAAACTCTTAATGATAAAGAAAGAGGAGAGAAATCAAATTTTGTAGAAAATAAGGAAGCATCAATCTTGATGATGGTAGTCCAAGTCAATAAAAAATCTTAATCAAATGTATGATATATGGATATAAGTTGCAACAACCATATGTGTAGAAGTAAGTTATCTTTTTTTTTTTACTCAAATGAAGGTTTTCATTCTATAGTGAATCTTGGTGATCGTTCTTAACTGAGAGTAATGAAAAATAGTCATATTAAAATAATAACGAAAAATGGTTTTGCATAAAATAATTTCTAATATATTTTATATTCTTAACTTGAAAACAGTAATTCATTAAATATTGGTCAATTACTAAAAAATAGTTATTTAATAACTATACAAAATGGTGTTTGTGAACTATATTACATTTCTAAGAGTATTTTTCGTTAATTACAAGAACTTAAAAATTTTGGATTGTTCTATGAAGAAAAAAAGAAAAAAGTTGAATTTGTTAAAATTATTAATAGTAATTTTGTAGGAGATCACGATGATAGAAAGAGCACTTGTCGTTACATTTTTATGATGGGTTCAAGGGTTGTTTTATGATCATCCAAGAAACAACCAATTGTTACATTGCCAATAAAAGAAATAGAACTTGTTGCTGCAACAGCTTGTGCTTGTCTACGTTGTTCAGTTGAGAAAAATTCTTGAAGAACTATACTTCAAGCAAGAAGGAGCTACTACAATTTTTTTATGATAACAATTTAACCATCAAGCTCTCCAAAATCCTGTGCTAAATGGATGAAGTAAACACATAGACGTAAAGTATTATTATTATTATTTTTTTCTTTTTTGAGATCTCGACAATGAGAGAACAATTGATTTGCAGTACTACACAAGTGAAGAACAATTGATTGATATATTTATTAAACTTGTCGGATTTCTTCGTTTCAAAAACTTATGAAGGTTAATAAGAGTTTATTCTTTGAACAATATTACTGTTACAAATGTAAACTAAAGTTCAAACATTTCTATTTTTGGTAAGAAAGGATTGTTAAAAAAATATTAATTTTCATTTCTGCAAGTTTAATTTAATTTTTTTTTTTTAATTGTCTTATTTTGTACAGAGAATAAGTTGTTAAGAGTCACAGCTTGAAAATATTTCTATCATGCACTTATATATTTAAATAACTTCAGTTATTTGAATAAAATGAAAAAAAATATTTCTTATTTCCAAACTCCCTTTCTAGTCTATGTTCTTCCTTCTCTTCTTTCAGCTAACAGTTACTGCTGGTATTATACCATTCCATAGTAGCGGGAATAAAACTTAATCCCATTTTTTATAGATTGCTACTGTCTACATGTGATTGAAATGAAAAGAACCTACTGATGCAGAGAGTAACCACTGAGGTAAGATCCCGGACTGGATGGTCCAAGAAATGAGCTTATCCTGTTGCATCTAATACAAAGAAAATATATTGGTGCAACATCACCCTCATCAGGCTTGATGATACATGTCATATTTTGATTATTCATGTTATCTCGAGCCACATGCTACTTATAGCAGTCAATGATATGGACTAAAGCACTGAACTTCTTCTGTCACTATTGTAGTAGGATTAAACAATTTGCAATCCACTTTAGATATAAACAGAATTCGCCAAAGAAAGAGGAGAAAACATAAAATATAAAACAAAAGTGAAGTCTTCTCCAACCATTTAGATATCATGTCCATTGTAACAGGCAGTATGCAACTCAGACTCTTTTTAGCCACCAAGTTTTCAACTTGTTCCCTCAGAAAGGTAGACTCCACTAATTCTTCCTTCCTTCACACAATATTATGTGATACCCATGCCTGGTCCATAGAACAATTATGGTCAGTATATACCAGTAGCTGATAGGAATTTATATGTCAACATATAAGCATTCCAGAATAAGGAAGAACAAGACCCAGAGACTAATGTGTAATTATTATGACCGTTATGCAAGCTAGTAAAGGATTCATAGCCTTTCTTTCATACACAAGGGGAATAGCAAGTGGATAACAAAAGCCTACTCAGGGAAAACAGCTTTCCATCACTTTGCACCATTAAAGAACCAGTTTAACAACAAGGCATTAAGTAAACAACTTGTCTATATCCACTTCTAGGATCAATTTTTCACTGATAACCAAATTCCAATTGAATTGAAATCTTTAGAATAATCAAACAACATAGATAATTCTCTAATCTTGATCTTCTATGACAATTGTTCTTATACATTTACATGGTACATATTCTGTTTAATATTAAGAAATAAACTTTCTGACCAAACCTGATCACGGGACAACTCAGACTAGGGCAAATCTATGACAGAAAACACTTCTTTCCCCCACTACCTTTTTTTGCCCCAATACAACTCAATAAATTAAATTCAAATTTTAGGATTTCCATTTATTTAAAAGTAAAGAGGTCCAAAAGTAGGTACTTGAAGAAGACAGGTAATGCTAATCTCATCCCTGCTCCACAAAAGGCTGGATAAAATCATTCTTGTTTCCAATTCAATCCAGGCTAGTGACACTCCCTGACCATCCTGATGGGATGATAAAATAAATAAGAACCCTGCCTTTGTAGGGCCAATGGCCATTCCTCTCGCCAGCTGAATCCTTTCAATTATTGCATTCTGTAATTTATAATCTGCAATCCATTTGTAGTTGCATTTCTTCCCAAAAATAGGCTACTAAACAGTCTGCCAGACAACAGTACTGGAATAAATTTAGCTGTAGAGAGAAGAGAATGATATATGCAAGAACATACGTTGATTTGAATGGTGCACTAGTAGCTCCAATTGGGGTGCTGAAAGCAACATCCTGAAATGGGCCAGCCATCTTTCCACGAGGAAACCATCCAAGATCCCCACCCTTTTTGCCGGATGGGCACTCTGAATACTCTGCAGCTAGCTGAGGAATTTGCAGAAATGGGTTATGACCATTAAAAAGCAAGAAATAACCCACATATAAATGTAGCTCCTGCAGAGCAACTAAAAAATTTCTTGCATCAATGTACCTAAGGGCCATATTAAGTTCACCTAGTCAAAGAAATACTTTATTTATTTCAAATAACATTTTTTTTACCAGAATAACTCGATTTTGAAGAGGCAACTACTTATATAAAGCATTATGAACAATTTCAAACAAAATGTAAGGAACAACACTAATTTGAATGAGGAACTACTTATATAATGCATTGTAGCCAATTCCAAATTAGAGGTCAAAAATGTCAAACCATTTGGAAAACTAGGATAATCTCATACCATTTAAGAGCACGTTAGATCCTTTACCTTTGCAAACTCAGCTGGAGGAACCTTGTCTCCATTGCCAAGCCAACCATCCTGCATCTTCTTATATGCTTCATTGATTTTTCCTTGTTTTTCACATAGTATATGCCTTGCTGAACCAAAATTTCAAGCCATCGATAAGAAGTTTGAAAATCAAAGCAGTTACATTAAAGCCTTATTCAGGCAATGACAAGAAGTTTGAAAATCAAAGCAATTATATTAAAACCTAATTCATCTCTCTGAGCATGCCAGCAGAATTGGCGAGATGAAACAAGCATATAATCACGGTATAGAATAAAATTCAAACAGCCTACAATACGACCATCTATCTTGCCCTTGGACTGCCAATTTCTTCTTCCACCACCACGTTGAAAAACAAAAATGTCAGAAAAAATATTATCTATTAACTTTAAAGAGCATTCAAAATATTTCTCCAAGTCCAGATTAAAACTGCCAATACCAATATCCAACACTGACGAATTAAGCAGGAAACGAGAAAAGCTAGATAGTTTAAATTCATGTGATTGAACCCATTTGCGAATACACCTTTTACATAAGTACAGGTGCCAAGCCCATCAGAAGATTTTCCAGATTTTCCTTTTCCCTTAGCTTCATCACTTCCTCCTGCTTGTTTTCCCTTTCCCTTCCCACTAGCTTCCTTTGGTTTCGAGTCCTTCCCCATCTGATAACGACCATGGATTGTCAGATACCGCGAGAAAAGATTTAGCCGCAACAAAAAAAATCCCTAATCAAACTCCTAAATTGAAAATTGAATACAATTTACAAATGTTATCAAGTCCCGAATCAAGAAGTCCAAATAGAACGGAATTTCTATCGAGTCGCTCAAAAATTCCTCAGCCCCAATTTACAAATAGAGTGAAGAATCTAAAAAAGAAAAAAGAAAAAAGGAAGAAGAAAAAAGTTCACAGCAGTTAGCAATGAAACTGAAAGCCCTAAACTAAAAGCAAAGGCAAGCAAGCAAGCTGAAGGAAAATAGGTCAACATCCCATCATTAGTCACAAACTTAAGATGCAATTTAATCTTACTGCTTAAGGAAATTGAGTGAAGTGATCTAAGAGTGGGAAGCTCAAGTCCGGCGACCCAGCGTCTGGTTTATCAGCCTCGGAATCAGTCAAAACGAGAGAGATGATACAGAATTATAGATGATGAGAAGAAAATGGACATGAAGTCGCCATTAATCCACAAATCTTTGTTCGACGGGTATAATGGGCCGTAATGAATGATTGGGCATTACTTAATTTGGGTCCAACTACAAGATTACTTGCAAAAATCTTCTTTCCATTTTCCATGAAAGACACAAATCACACTCACTGATATTATTATTATTATTTTTAAGAAAACACCACTCATACAAAGATAAGCGTTGAGGCAAGTGACCCATCTTCCTCAATCTAATCCAAATTGAACAGAGTTTCTTTTTGTTAATTGAGTATCAGGGAGGTTTAGTTAAAAAAAATTAAGTGTAGAAGGAGTATATATATGATTAATAACTTTTTTAATTTTATTCAAACTAAATTAATTTTGTTTAGTAAATATTTGAATTTGTTAATTGTCATGTTCAATTTTTGGTAATAGAAAATAAAAAATTATGTGACAATATCATAAAAATATAATCAATATAAATGTAGTATAGCAAATATTATCTTCTGTAAAGTTTACATTTTTGTTTATATTTATCTTCGTGAGAGTGTTTAGCAAGTCAATTAAAATTTATTATTTTGATTATATGGAGATTGCATATTAAATAGACACATTAGAAATTTAGTAAGACACTTAAGAAGAAAGATTTGGAAGGAATTAAAGCTAATTATTCATAATAAATGGTTTTCTTTACTGAGATTACATTAAATTAAATTTTAATATACGCTACTATTTAGAGAAATATATATATATATATATATTTTTTTCTAAAACAATCTTTTAAGATTAATTATGTATTTTAAAATATTAATCCAATTTTTAATTAGTGGGTTCGATGCTTATATTACAAAATACAAATATAAAATATAAAATAATTGAATTGAAATTTTTTTAAAATTTAGTATTAATTTGCAAAAATATGAATATTGTGTTAAACATTTATGATTATAAAGAGAGTTAAAATGGAACCGGAAACCAATGGGTAAGCAATCTCCTCCACAAACATAATGAAGACAGCTGTGAATTTACAGACCAAGTAAAAAGCAAGAATGATAAAGACACCAACTTTCAGTTCCACTACAATTTTTCATTTGTTCATTTTATAATTTTAACCATAAAAAGAAAGAAGCTTTAACGCTCTTCTCTTTCCTTTTTAATCATTTTTCTATCTTTCAATTTGACTAACCACTGAATTTTTCCTTCATGGGAAGGAACTAAATGTTTTTTAGCTCAGCCTATTGACACTGACGACTGAATCTAAAACAGGAACAAATCCAATAGATTACAAGATCTCCTACGAAGATTACGAAGCCAAAACAGTTTATTGTCTCTTTCCTTTTCAAGCCCCCCGAATAAACGAATTTCATATACGCACGATCACATTCCTTTATATATATAATATATATAGTGCAGGTGATGAGAGCGGAAAAAAATACCAGGGAGGTGGAAAAATAGTAGTCAAGTGTCGCTAAAGGCAATTTACGAGAGACAGGTAATGAGGAACGTGGGATTAATAGCGTGGGGATTGTGTTGTTGCGTGATTGGGGTTGTTTTCGGTGGTTCTGAAAATCATGGTTTCAGCAATTTGAAATCGACCGACGATGATTTGCTCTTCTCTTTGTTCGACGTGGAGGCAGACCCGCCGTCGATGGCGCCTAATGCCTCCTCTCGGCCTCTTCTCGTCCCCCTAACTCTCATTCAGGGAGCTGCTTCCAAACGAGCTTGTATGTCGTACCTCTCACTCTATCTCTGTGTGTATATGTATATATCAGATATATAATATATATACTGGCCTTGCGTAGAATTGACTGTTTGTTTATGTTGAAACACGCTGGTCGCTTGCGTCATTGATATTTAATTTGCTCTCTTTTCTTTTTTATTTCGTTCTGCAGAATGCAACTCTGATTTATGACTATTTTATTTCATCATTTATTTTGCTTCCTTCATGGTGTATACAGTAAAAACATACGTAGAAGTATATATGTATGTACAGATTTATGATCTGTTCGCCATTTTCTTTTTGGGTATATATCCAGAACAGGTACGCTGATTATTGTAGTCGTTTTAGTATTGTAATGGGGTAGTGATAAAAGCAACATAGAATTCTTCAATTATAGTTGTTTTACGATTTGTGGTCCTTAAGAGATAGAATAGGTTTTATAAGCAAGATTTATTTGTTTGAACTTTAAAGTTTCGTGGAGATTTCTGCATAGTTATAAAGAGCAATTTGATCAAATGCAATGTGGTATTTTAAGATTTTATATGCCTTAAAATGATGCAGTCTGTTTGGATGGGACACTTCCTGGTTATCATTTCCATGGCGGACATGGATCCGGTGCAAACGGTTGGGTAGTTCATTTAGAGGTGTGTAATGTGGAATCTCTTAAATGTAATTGGAAGTTTATGTTAATTTCTGCTATTTGTTTTACTGTTGATTTTCTTAACTTCTCTTCTGATTATTGGTGATTTTTGCCTTTTTTTCCTTTTGACGGTAGGGAGGAGGATGGTGTAATACCATCAGAAATTGTGTCTATAGAAAAACTACTCGCCGTGGCTCGTCCAAATATATGGAAAAGCAGATAGAGTTCACTGGAATATTGAGCAATAAAGCTGAAGAAAATCCTGGTATTTTTCTCACCTTTATACTGACTTTGTTTGTACCAGAGAGATTTTCTGCTACCGTTCCAATTCATCTGATACGAGTGATCTCTATCTTTGTTTGTGTCTGCTTGTATATCCTGATGATATTTTGGATGTTCTTGCAGATTTCTTCAACTGGAACAGAGTCAAGCTACGTTATTGTGATGGGGCATCTTTCTCTGGGGTCAGTCAGAATCAGGTTGGTGGGACTGTTTTGCCTTTCTCTGGCCTTCTTTTTGTACATTTTGAATTTGAGTACTAATTAAGTTTAGCTTAGCAGCACCACTGGAAATACCATTGTCTTCGAGTTTATGTGTTTCATGCTTTTTGAATATTTGAGAATGTAATTCTTTGTATTTATATGCCTGTTTTTATGTTAGTCATCAGATATGAGTTAGGTTTAAATAAAATCTTTTTCTAGGCTTACTGTTCTTTTGGCTTAGGTATCTTTCCCTTATTTGAAGAAAAGTTCTTGTCTTGTTAGAAGCACGTATATTTATTCTGCTGTAACTATTGAAACTTTTAGGAGGACAGCTAATTCATTTTCAGTTTAACTAACATTGTTGCTTTCTTTAACATTGTCTACCGATGGTAATATTCCTGACAACACTGCCTGCAGGAGGCAGGGCTTTATTTTCGAGGACAACTTATCTGGCAAGCTGGTATTGAAGAGCTCTTGGCGAAAGGAATGCAGAATGCTAACCAGGTTTAATATCTAGCTTGCCCCTTTTCAAGAGTTCCTGACAACTTTATTTATGTTTAAAGGGAATTTGTTTCAGGTTCTGCTTTCTGGATGTTCAGCTGGGAGTTTAGCCTCTATTCTACATTGTGACCAGTTTCGTGACTTTTTTCCCCCAACCACCAAAGTGAAATGTCTAAGTGATGCTGGAATGTTCCTTGATGCGTAATACCCTCTATCTTCTATATCATTGTTTATCTGTAAGTCTGTGTTGTTATCTACTTTAATATTTTGTTTGATCTTGTAGACTTGATGTATCTGGTGGCCGCAGTCTCAGGAATATGTATGAAGGTGTTGTGAGTGTGCAGGTAACACACAATAGCATTTAATTTAAGCATTTGCCAAACTTAAAATATTTGATCTTGGATTTTAAAATGCTCAACTGCTTGCATGTGGGATTATAAGAATGTCTCTCTTGATTTGCTAGTCAGTGGTTCGTCATTTGTTTGTGGCAAGGTTAATTACATGAGGTCACTGAGTAGAGAATCTTTTAAATTATTTGAAGCTTACTATATTCTTGTGAATTTTGAATGAATTCTTAGGATCTGCAAAGGACTCTACCAAGTTTTTGTACAAGTCACTTGGATCCAACTTCGGTATGTGTCTCTCTTCTTTGATTGTCATCCACTTCATGATTTTACTTTGATATGAAAATATGAAGTGGTTAATTATATTAACTTTTCCTTTTCTTCTTTTAACTCTTTCAGTGTTTTTTTCCTCAAAATTTGATTGCAAACATAAAGACTCCTATGTTTCTGCTTAATTCTGCATATGATACATGGCAGGTAATTTTTTGATTATTTCTTATCTTTCCCCTTTTACTAGTGCTGAATTACAAATGCCAGTCGAATATATATATTTGGGGGCTGAATTATCCATGCTGAGCAGACAACAGTTAATACTTGTCTCTTGTGATCTAGTGGCAAATTTAAACAAGGAATTTGTGTTATGTTTATTTTTATCAGATTCAAGCTAGTTTAGCACCTCCATCTGCTGATCCTAAAGGCTACTGGAATGAATGTAAAAAGGATCATTTGCGTTGTAACTCATCACAGATTCAATTTCTCCAAGGTGATCCTTCTTTTTTTTTCCCTGTTGTTAGCCATTATGTCGAAGTTTATGTATACATTTAACGTTTCTATAATGGGTTTCTTCTTCTTTCTCCAATATGGATCAGACTTCAGGAATCAAATGCTCAATGTCATTGACGTTTTTTCTAAGAGCAGTCAAACTGGTTTGTTTATAAACTCTTGTTTTGCACATTGCCACTCTGAAAGACAGGATACCTGGTTTGCTGTTGATTCTCCCCGTATAGGTAACAAGGTAAGCCTATCTGTAGTTATACACACACTACCATAGTAGAGATTACTATTAATGGTCACCTCAACTTTAAGATCTGTACTTTATACGGGCAAAAAAGTAATCAATTGTCAATTTGAACTATGAAATTTTGTGAATTGTTGTTGTCAAAAAGTAAATTGTCATAGAAAATTTTTTTTCATACACAACAGATTCCTCCCCATGAAAACCTTGATTGGAGCTGAGTGGTTAATGGCTTCTAAGAAACCTAAGTACAAATTTCTGGATCTCTCTAATTCTTAGGAATGCTATGTTAACTTGCTTACACTATCAATATGCAGAGAGTTGCGGAATCTGTTGGAGACTGGTATTTTGATCGAGCACCTGTTAAACAAATCGATTGTCCATACCCATGTGACAAATCATGTCACAATCTTGTCTTCAAGTGAGTGAGAAGTTATCTATCAGCTCCTCGTATGCGTTGCCTCATTCATCTTCAATTTCCGATTTTTGAAAATGTAACATTCATTTGTCTTATTATGTTCGTTATTCTTATTAAGTTCATCTAAAAAAATAACTGTTAGCAACATGCTCCCTATTCTTTCATGTGATTTAGGGATGAGATCGTCCTATCTCTATAAGACTCCAAAGTTCCTTGGTAATAACTCTTTTAGGGAGGGGGTGGAAAAGGTATATTTGCAGTTGCTCTGTTTCAGAAGGCTGAGCTTATGAATCCCCCATTAGGAAAAACCATTGATGACTTGGTTTAAAACTGAGTTATTGTAATTTAAGTTTTATTCAGATTCAATAAAAATAATTTGCTTTCACAAGCAATAAAAATAACTTGGTTGACTAGTGAGCTCTGGTATGCAAAATTATCTGATCTGAAACTCTATCACAACTGGGGAAAGCTTTGACAAGCAAAAGAAGGTTTGCCAGTTTACTCATAGAGCGATTGAAAAAAGCTTTCTATCTACTTTTTTCTATTTGCTTCTCCTTTTGTAAAATTGTCAATTTAAAAATAAGTTGGCAACCTATAAAATTAAGGTTGGAAGGACACCTCATATGAGTCTAATTTTGATTTGCTTGTCACTGTTGAACCCAAAAAAATGTGTCTGCCAGGTAGGTGATTGTGTTATATGCGACCACGGTGTATGAACTTCTTGAAATGGTCATGTCTTCTTGATATGTTGCAAGCTTTGCAGTCTTAATCACTGCTAATCTGCTACTGTGGTTAGTAGATATTGTCCATAGTCATTTAGAGACACCATTTCTTCAACTGCAGTATAGAGTGGAAATCTTATAGTGCCTTGGAATTCTAGTAATATTCTGCGGTACTTTGTCTAAGTTCAAGTAATCTATTTCATGGTAATTATCCTCAAAAAACACTGCAGAATGATATGTGTACAAATCTTTCAGGAAGTTAGAAGTGAAGTGAGTTGTTGGGTAGTTATAGTAGGCTGTTTGGTAGTTAGCTGTTTCTTATATAGAATGAGAGAGCTCAATATTGAGAGATAATATGCTGTAGATTGGTTATGGAAATTGATTTTTATGAATGCTTCTCCTCCGCGTCCTCCATGTCTCATAAGTCTCTTTGTCATGCCCTTTAATCGTTAATCCCTGTGAATTCTTTCCTCAAAGCTCTTGAATTCTAGTAGATACAACATTTACTTGTATCATTGGTACCAGAGCCAACAATTGAGTCAATCACGGTAAATTTTCTTTTTCTTTCTTCTCTTTGCCCTCCTTATTCCCCTAGAGAATTCTTCAAAACCAAAAGTCAGAGAGAAAAAAAGAAAGTAATGTTACCATTCATACCAGTAGCTCATTTAAAATTGAATATGATAAAGATAAAGTATTAGATACTTTACAAATTAGATACGATGTAAATAGAGATGATAACTAGAGATTTAACCAGAAGCATGAGTCACTAGAAAACACAAAAGAATGTCTATTTGAAAAATAATCTAGAGAGTGACCCACAAATTCCAGATTGTCTTGTGACGATGATGTTATGGTGTTTAGTCGTTTGGCGGAAGGTTTGGTTCAGTTTCCTAACTGAGAAGAGCTATTTGTTAGTAATAGTCATCTTAAACTCCACTAATCTTTCCAATATTTGGTAAGGTCAAGAGTTGTCATGTATAAAATGAATAAGCCTATGCCACAGTTACATGAGATGTAATGCATCAATCGTGGTGCAGGTACTGGTTTGAAATGTGTTAGACACTAAATTTAGGTTCTAAGGGGGAGACTGGGTCCCTCGTTCTGCTTTGAAGTTTGTTGAACAACTTGATTCATGAGTTTGGATCTTAAGTAGTTTCTGTTCAATAATACATTATGTACTCGTAGTCATTATTCTTTTTATATGATAAGAGATTTAGGATTGAATTTCTTGGTATAGCTACAACAAGAATATCAATCCCCTTGCTATTCACTCGGGATGCTGTTTGATGAATTCTTGTATTTTTAAGTTCCAAGAAAAGAGATATTGTTTGATGAACTTTTGCTCTTCAGCTTAGATTTAGTGTTTTAAAAGAAAAAAATAAAAAAAATTAATTAATGATTAAAGTAAAATTAATAAAATGAAAAGTTAGACAAGAAAAGTTAAAAAAAAAAAAAAAATTGTTCAGTAAATGTTTTAAATATATATGTGTATGTATTTGTTTTTGTGTTTTGATGTTATATGAAATTGATATTTAAAGCAAAGCAACTGAGATAACATATTGGTATGCAGTGGTGGTAATAAGTCAAACATAACGATCATCTCCCGGTCCACAAGATTGAGTTTCACCTTCCTTAACCTGCTTATGCTTAGTGCTACTTTCGTCTCCTTAATGCCACGGCCGGAATTTTGATTAGATTCACAAAAGATATTATTATTTTACCATACGCACAAATGGTTAGTTCTACTTGCCTCCTCCCCTTTATTTATTTCTTCATAAACTAAAGTTCCAATTTTTTTTTTTTTCTTATCACAACTTTACTTTCTCGGCATTATATTATCAAAATTATGTTTTAAATTCTGTTTACATATAGTGTTTGTTTTCTCTAGTAACCAAAAAAAAAAAAAAAAAAAAAATGTAACTAATAAAATTTGGAATAAATTTTTTCTACATGAATAATTATCTTAGTTTCTGTGGTCTACATAAAAGCAGAGTGTAATAATATTTGGACGCCATTGTTTTAGTAGGGCTTACGAGAAATACAACATAAAAAATTACAAAAAGTAGAGTATTTTGTTCTGTAATTCTTCGAACGCTCATCCCAAAATAGATGTTTGGATCATAATTTTTTTTTTTTTTTTAGAGTGAGTTTCTTTTCAGTAAAGAAATTATGATATTTGGATTCAATTACTTTTTTTATCTTGTGAGCTTCTTTTGTAACTTGTGGGACTTGCCCAACTGAATGGTGGGGAAATAGGATTTTGATTATTTCCGGATAAATGATTAATTAGATGCCTTTCCATCATCTAATCATAGACCTGCTTTATAGGAAATACTTGTTTCTTTTATACTCCATTTTCTTCATCAATGTAAAAGCTGTGCATTACAGGATCTTCTTCAACCAAATTGTTGATCATTTTCTACATTCAGACAAATTTGGGTTTTCATCTTAAGAATATCATCATCTCGGATTATCATATCATTTTCTTCTTTGGTTAATTTTAGTGGGTGTTAAAAGTTAATCATCGTCCGGCTTTCCTGTGATATCACCTCAACTGTCGCTACATTACTCATCATCATGTGATTCTTCTTAACTTACTTGATCACAGTTTCCATAATTTCTTGCACCCACTTGCCTAATCTTGGTACACTTCTTGCAAACAATGTATTTTATCCATCTCTCTCTCTTCTCAACTCAACACTGTTTTTGGATTTTAGCGATTCTTGTTGCGTGTTAAGATTGGAACCCACTTAAACTTACGGTCTGATAAAGTTTTATTTCCCATTTCATGTCTTCAATTGGATCTTTTAGAGTCATGGTGAGCAGAACACTATCATGTCAAGTGAGCTAGAATTTCTCATAAACAAACACACTCCAAATCACAATCACGGCATGCAAAATCAATCAACCGTATCTAACACGCGTTTCCCAAAAAGAATTGCAGCAGCTATACATGTTCTCTAAATTTGGAATAATTAACACCCACACTGTATATTGATACGATTGAAAAGCCCGGTGACTGTGACTCATGCTTGTACAGTAAGCTAGAAATAGCTACAAGAAGGTTATATAGGAGTATATAGTTAAGCTGATGAACTGCGTCTCATATAGTAAGAAAAGCCTGTTGCTTGGGGACACCTTTGGTTCTGTCATATTTACATAAGAGAATTATATACACACCAAGGAGAAGAAGAAGAAGAAGAAGAAGAAGAAGAAGAAAATAAGAGAAATTGGAGGAGTCAATTGAAGCTCAACCTCAAGTTCCCAGAGCAGCAAAAACCCAGAACAGGAAAACAAAGAAAGAAGCTCCAAAATGCAAAATGGCGGTTTTTGTAGGAATCAAAAACGAAATAGAAACGTTTCGTGGCTAAAATAGCTAGTATAGTTTAGAGAAGTAAGGAGTGGTAAAATCAGGAAGGTGGGTATGATTGTGAAAGATAATTTAGGAAACATGGCGAGAAGTCGAGGCAAGAGCCACCGCCTGTGCCCACACCTTAAGCCGAGCCTTAACATCTCTGGGGTCATCACCTGGTTTAAAATTTCAACACATCATTATCACTATACAGCTTCTCATGAAAAAGGAAAGTCGTAATGTGATTAACTCTGCCTTATTTGTTTCTTTGTTTGTTTCCATTTGATATTATGTAAAATAGGAAAGTAAAAATTGAGAGAATGACTAACCAGGGCTAGAGATGCGCCAGTTGGCGATGGGAGAATTACCACCACTACTGGTTTCAAGAGTTGACCCTGACAGAGAAACTCGACTCGGCATCTCCACCATTCGCTCATGCTCCAACTCAAACCCAAGATCTCTGCAAGCCTTTACTTCTTCCAGGTCCATACACAGAGATCTCCTTCCTCCTTTCGGCCTTGTTATCACCACAACTCCACCGCCACCGCCGCCTCCTCCTCCCTCGCTCTCCCCACTCACACTATAATTCACCCCATACGCGTATCCATACCCATAAACCCCACTTTCTTCTTCTCTCTTTCTACTACTTTTCCCACTAATACTCTCCTTCACTAACCTCCTCTTTCTCAAATTATTCCTCCTCGTTTTCCTCTTCAACATACCCTTTTGGGCTTCATTCTCACTCGCGTAATCCTTAGCCCCCACAAGAGCCTGATTTACCCCTAACCCACCACGAGTTCTCCTCGGCCGCGGCGGCGTCACCGGCAGGGAATAACAACCGGGTTCTTTGTCAGAGTCCGACGAGAGCCCCAGCAACTGATTATGCTTGCCTTCCTTTTCTACATCGGACAGTTCCTCGTCGGCATCATCACCATCGAAACTTTCTACAGACAATCTTGACATGAAGATCCTCATATCGGCACCACCACCACCATAATCGTTATCATCATCATCCCCCTCGTAATCGTCGTTGGTGTACATGGAGCTGGTACACATAGAGAGCCGGGAGAGGTTATGGGTATATGAATGATGAGGCTGATGATAAAACCCATCATCCGTATCATCGTATTCATCTTCTTGCATCGAAGAAAGAATCGTCATACTTTCATCTGACGCCATGAATACTCTGCTTCAAAACTATATATATTCCTAATTAACGAAATCAACAAACTACTATTAGCGTGTCCTTGTGTTTTTTGAGATGAGACGAATCTAAACCAGAGAAGGGGAAAGTGAATAAAATGAGAAGAATATAAATTATAATTAGGGACAGTGAATTGAGAAAGTAATGGCGTTTGGGTTTCTAGGAATCAAATGGTTTTTGTGGTCAGTTGATGATAAGATGAGGTAAAGTCCGGTTCCCAGCCGAAGGTGCCATTTATAGTAAAAATTAGTGGAGAGTTAATTCCTGATTTTGTCCCTGTTAATCTTGCTTAATAGTGTTCAATTAACACGCATACACACAATATAATATACATTTGATTTGATTCCACGTGTCGCTTCACTTGTGCTCCGAGGAGTTGGTCGTGAGTAGTTATGATGATGAATGCTGGGGTATTATGGTAATTTAAGGTTCAAAACAGCAGCTCCTTTGAATTCCTAATGTATATATGATATTATTTTACACATTAATTTTAGTAGGCATAAATTATTTGCATAACTCGTTCAAAATCTCATAATTACAACACACTTTAAAGATTAATCCTTCAAATATTTAAAAAAGTAGTAGTTATATATATATATATATAATAGACCATCCTTAACTATATATATTATACCAAGTTTTTAATGTTTATCAATGCTATTTTTTGAACAAATTTAATTATTTTTAAGTTTAAAATTTTCTGCCGTCATTAATTCTCTCCCTTAACATTTACGTATCTACTATTCAATTGATAATTCAAAACTAAAATTAAAAATTCTAAGTTAATTTCATAATTAAAGAATCAATAATTATGGGTCAAGCATGATAATTGTATTTAATTATTGGGTAAATTTTGTGTAAAGATTTATTTACGTGACGAAATTTAACTTATTTAGTGAACTAATTATTAAAATTTATCGTAAAGTTGAAGTTAGAGGGTAATTTATGTATTGGAACATAAATGATAAATGCACGGTGGGGGGCCACGCGGAAGAGGAACGGGAGGGAGCAGACAGACGGTGGTTAATTACCTCGGTAACAATCGGATTGTGAGCAGTAAAATAATAAATGACGCAGAAGAGCTTTATGGGTCCCACAGCAGTAATTCGTGGCACGTAGCCACATTAGAAGTCGTTATTTGTAAGCTAGGCCTCGCACTTTGTATTAATTATTAAATGGTTGGTATATTTGGCTATTTATATTTTGACAGTGGACTGACAAACACTATAATCAACTAATCAATGGTGAAGAAGACCTGCGGGCACGACTTTCCCCATGACTAAAACATGTCCAATTTCAATGTTAAAAACAAATATTAAAAATTAAGGTTAAAAAAAGAATTAACTTTAAAAATAAAAATTGGAGAATCAATCTTCTTAGGCGTTTTATTACGGAAAAAAAAAAAAAAAAAATTTAATGATTAGATCGTGATTTGCGAAGGTGGTGTAAAAGTCTAAGTGGAGTTTGCATATAAGATCATGAAACTATATGAATGCATAAAATTTTGGCAAATATGATAATGAACTAAGTAGAAATTATTTGTGAAATACATGTTATTAAAAATTAGAATAACAAAATTTATTGATATTATTACGAGCTATTTGAATAATAGAATGACCATCACACAAGATAAAATAATGACTTCATCTTGAAAAATTCACAATACTAAACCTCAATAATAAAATTATAAATTATAAATTCTTTGAATCAAAGAATAAGTAAATGTCATACATAAAATATTATACCCTTAACACAAAGTAGGATTTGTAGAAAGACTCTAAAATGACTAACCCATAAAGCTGATATAAATTGACTAATAATATGCATTGCATAGATAATGTTTGAGTGAGTAAACTGTAAGGTAAATGAGATTGCTAACAAATTTTTAAAATAAAATGGGATAAAAAAAAATGTGATTTATCAATGAGAAAGCTTTAAATATATCTCGTTAAGAATATGAAAAATCTTATTGTCAATCAAATCAACCCAAGAGAGTGGATTACTTGCATATTTAGCTTGATAAAGATAATAGCCAATATCATGAGAAGTAACATGAAGACTGAGAAAATAATTCAAGTGACAATAATTTTTGTCCCATTAAAACTAGGAAACTATGTCTTAACTTCTATAAATATGTATAGGAAAAAGAAATATTACGTTATATATGTAAGCATAAGTTAAACAACTGCCTTGATTCATGCTTCCCTTATTAGCATGATATAATATTTTAATTCTCTTTCAAACCCTTTAGTTTTTGAGCTTTGTATCACAATGTTGAGATCTTAGAAAATTAAGAACCATTGCAATAGTCGATAAGAATTCTCATATATCTGAACTGTCATAATAATTTGTAAAGAGTCTCATGTCTCTTTTCAAATTTATAAATATTAATTGTAAATCAATCAAGATGAATAACTTTTATGGAATAAAATCAAAGTTTATTATTCTCTCTCTAAATTTTCTATCTTTCTCTTCTCTCTTCTTTCTTCTCTCTACTATCTCTTATCTCTCTATATTTCTCTCTCTATCTCTCTTTCTAAAACATTATCTCTTTTTCTCTCTATTTCTTTTTTCCTCTAAAGATCAATCTCCCTCTCTCTATCTATCTTCTTCTGTCTCTCAAACTTCGTTTCTTCTCTCTTTCTGGAATTTTTATTTTCTTTCCTAAAATTTTAATTCTTTCCCATACTTTTTTAATTCTATATTCTATATAATCTTTTGAAGTTATCTCAAAATTACCCCAAAATTATTTAAACTTTAATATTTTTTTTTCAAATTATAGGTATGGTAAATCACATATTAAAGCCAGATTCTAATACAAAGTTATTAATGATAAGTCTATTTAAGTGACCAATTATGTCAACGAGTTTCAAATACTTCTTACATTGATCAAATATAGATAGTCTAGTCAAATGTTAACTTTTTTAGCCTAAATTAGTATTTGAGTTAAACCACATTGATATTTTATTAAACTTTACTTACTTCTTAAAGCTTCTCATATACAAAAATAGTCTAGAGAAAAAGATCAAATTCTATGGTTATAATTATCTTAAACAAAGTGTTGTCATCTGTAAAGAGAAAATAAAATATTGCTAAATTTAAAAATACAAATATATATATATATATATAGCCTTTGAACATTGTGATTGGCCTTAATCTTCTGAATTAAAGAATAAAATTTCTTTAAATATTAAAAAAAAAAAAAAGGTAAAGAAAAAGAGAGTCACCTTATCGTAACCTCTATTGTAGATAAAATCTCTAATAAAAGAATTCATTAACTAAAATGGAGTATGAAATAGAGGAAACACATGTCAAGGCAGACTAGAGTCACCTTATTGTAATTCTCATTCCAAATAAAAATCTTTGGTATTGAAATCTATTAAGTAGAACCGAGTACACATGTACGGAATACATCTCACTACAAGATAAAACAAAAAACATCATAAAATGTAATATTAAACACACAAAAAAAATCATTCAATTCTATCATATAGTAATATATGATTCGATAGTATAGAAACATGTATTATTTCTTAACATATATTTTATATAATAGAAACAATAAAAAATTAGAAAATGTTGATGGTTACATGTTCTTGGACAAAAAAAAAAAAAGAGATATAAGATGAATGTATGACCATATGAAGAATTTCTTTTAGGTGTTTTGCGATATGTTTTAAAATTCTTTCAAAAATCACATTATACTAAGCTTTGACAATTTATAGAAACAGTATTAGCAACATAATGTAGAGCATTGAAATTAAATAAATTTAGAAACCTCATCACCTTAAATGCACTAAAATTTGTATAAAAGAGAGTGGGCAAGCCAAAGGGATTAGATGCTTTGATGGGTAACTTTTTGTGGAGTAAACTTGCTCAAATGTAAACTAAAATCCCAATGTTGTCAATGCAAATATACTATAGGTTATTGGTACTTAAAAATTACAACGCATATTTAATTTTATTGATATAAATTTATATTTGATTGTGAAAATTTTAAAATATCAAATTAATATAAATATATTGGCAACCGATTTTAGAATTGAGAACTACACTCATCTAGTGTAATCATATATATGCAATTTGTATAATAATATTTATTAAAAATACATATCAAGATTCATAGTTAAATAAAGTTAATGGTAATGATTAACAAAATTTCATTTGCCACGAAGACTTTTAAAGTAAAACAACCCCATGAAAGAAAAAGCTGAAGCTGCTTTTAAATTGTATAAAATTACAGTGGGTTTACAGAGATAAATAACTTGACTTGACTTCATGTTTCTTATGTCAGTGTCTTGTTTTCACTTTTTAACCCTCACAAGTGTAAGGATGTGATGATTCTCTTACGGCTTTATTTTAGAGTGTAATAAACTTTCGACGAGTATATTTTAGTTAAAAATAGAATTTTAATTAACACACATTACAATGATTTAAAAAATATATATATATATATTTTCAACTTCATGGTAAACTTTTGTTTTTTTGTTTTTTTTCTTCTAAGAAAGTCATGAATTTTAATTTTAAATTATCTATTTTATTACGAATTTATACTATTATTGATATTCAGAGAGAGATAGTGAATTAAAAATGTAAAATTTTGACTAAAACTTGAGTGTAAAGACAAAGTGCGTTAAATAACTAAAACTGCGTACTGCATTTCGCCTGACTTCAGTGTCAGGACAGGGCAGGACAAAGCTTCCCCGTAGACCCACCGTTGCTGACGATTTATCCGCGTTTCACAGGACAAGTGTCCGCGTTTTGCACACTAAAAAAATCTACTTATACTATTATATAACATATAGATATTTATCAAAATTAAATAATAACAATAATAATAAACGAAAAAGAAAAACAAGCAAAGCTTAAAACGACAAAACAAAAGCAAAGAAACGGTGTAATCTTCAACATACCAACAAAATTGACCCCACCCCCATCTCTATCTCATAAATGATCAATATTTTATTCATCTTTTGTGACATTTTAAATAATATATATATATATATATATATAATATCCGCGAAAAACCTTGGCAGTCAAATTCTAAAAACCAACCTTTTTCTCCATAAAGCAATTAGTTAATTACATTAACTTTGATTAGTAGTTTTGAAAAGTAAAAATAATAATATTATTATATATTATATAATAATTAATAATAACATTATCCTAAAATATTCATTCACTATATGCCAAGTGGCATCAACCCCCATATAAACCTAACACATTACTTGTCATCTCTTATGTTCATTCACCATCCCCCCCCCACCCCCACTACTCGTGG